GACCAAATTGCATCAATAAAGCGTTGAATTTATCGTGAAATACCACTTGACGACTTGATAATAAAACCCGTGACGCTTCTCGAGCCGTAGGACGAGTTACTTTTTGCGATGCTAAATCATTATTATTATTATTATTATGCCATTTTTCACAGCAATTAAAGTATTCTGATATAAGTTTCGTTTTCCATATTACATATCCGCAAAAAACTGCGGATTATTATCGTTATCGTTTCTCTATTGCCAAGAAAATAAACATATCTTTCGTTCTCTTATAATAGCCTGTTTCCACACGTCTCATTTGTATTTTTACATTTTCATTTGCGTAATTTATGACCAAACGTTCATAATTTCAGAATATTGAATGGGATTCCTCCCAAATTTCCAAGAGAAAACGCTCTTTTTAGCTCTAATGCTCTTATAAAACCTTCATAACTCATGAATAATTTCGAGAATATGTCGCTCATAAAGGAGCGAATACGGAACAAACCCAACAAACAACTCACAAACTGGTTCGCCGAGACCATCATCGTATTCGGCCGGAAGATGACTGCAAAACGATTATTCAGAATTTCATTCATTCATTTAAAAAATGGAATAAGACTTAGAACAAACGACTTAGAACAACTTCCGTGTGTTTGTTGAATTGCATTCAATCTTTCAACATCAAAAGAAATTTGCAGTCGAATGAAATCTTATAGCGTCGCATTGAGCTCAAAACAATTTCTACTCACAAAAATTTTTGCATGTTGATTTTCGAGCGTTCAATCTGAGTGAGTGTTGACCAAGGGAATGATCACTGTTTTGATGAGTAGCAATAAAGCGGAGAAAACAATCAAACAAAATATTGAATTATTCGAAGAAATACACTTTCAGATGAACAGTCTCATCTATTCGTTCGAATTGCCATCCAAATGACTACTTTGAAGTGGAATAAAGCTCATTTCGAGTTTGTTCATGTGCAACTGAAGTGCGTATGCATTGCAAACATTAGATTCACTTTGTGAAATCGTCAAACGAAATGTATTTTCAACGTACAATAAATATATTCAAGTCACAAAAATGATTCGCATATAGGTATCATTCGCAATGCATCATTCGATGAACCGTACAAAAGTCTCTTTCATTCTGATTGATTGATTGATTGATTGATTTGTTGTTTCGATTTTCTAATACATATCTGATGTGGTGGATTGTTGTTTGTTTGGTTGTAAGGAGTTGTTGTATCAGATCATATCAACAAATTATTACATTCGTTTACGTTCCATCTGACATCATCGTTTATGACATTTCATTTCAAAACAACACCAAAATAGAACAGAACATTCCCCAACAAGCAAGCATATCTGCGTTGATCTCTTTGAAAACCGGTTTTTAGCAAAAAAGTTTTTGGCAGAATTTAGATAATCATGAAGATAGCGCAAAAAAAACTTTCACTGCAATTGCATTAATCGAAAAACCGGCAATATTAAGCAGTATTTTGGAATAACATAAACTTATCTTTACTTGATTGTAAACAAAGATTATTAGAATGTACCAACTGTAGCACTTCGCAACAAAGCGATTACTTTTTGTACACTTACATACATAAGAATGATGGTAACGGACTGAATTTTCGTCCTGAACATATTCGGAATTTTCGATAAGTACTAAACTTCGGCTCTTGAAAAGTGTGCTAAGGGCATCCAACTGAACGTAAGCATATGAACGATTGCGTCCATATTTCAACAATCTCTCTTCATTTTCAACAACCCACACAAACTGAACGTTGTTCAAATGCAGAAAATAATTATCGAATCTGGTTTTCAGATAGCGAATCACAACAAATATTTTCGAATTGCATAGGGAATTTTCAACTGAATTTAATGAAGTTCAAGAGAATCTGGTCGCAATGAAACGTAGAGTGCCATAAATGAAATTGAATGCTGCAATTTGATCAACGGAAGAAGTATCAAGAATTTGTTGATTTATTTAGATTATACAATGGTGATTCCTGCAGATAATCAGAAGAATGAATAATACTGCTGAAGGAAGGTACTGATTACTGAGAGCTGATTATTGAAAGAAAGCGACAAAAGTTATTTGAAACTGGGA